AATTTAGCAACTTTATAATACACAGTATTTTAACTTTTATTTCATTATATTTACAGGTAATTATATTCACTGTATGTCCACTGAATACTTATTAGAACTGGAGAAAAGAATTCTGCTGTCAATTTACAGGCATCTTCAGGATGGTAAGAGAAATCTCACTGGTTACAGTCTATTACCTGTGGCATAGGGGTTTTATAGTGTTGCTCTGCTTTGTGGGGAAAAGTAACATCACACACAGTTCTCACAATCAGAGTTCAAGACAAGATTTGGTGCTATCCGTTAAGTTTGTAGGGAGTTCCACTTTACATTGATTCATTGATTTTCCCCCTACTATTCTCTATTCTGATGCCTACTGATTTTCTCTAGAGGTTGCAGACTTGGTTGCACACTTTTCAGAGTAACCTGCACCGTCTGCGCCTGAATGATGTCAGTGAGCAGCCCCCTCCCCTCCAGTTTTGCTCACACTGATGATTGCCTGCCTTCCCTTTCACAGAGTATCTTCTGTTTTCCTCTGTCCCAGCTTCCATACCATTGCAGAATTCTTTTATTTCACATTTTAAAAATACTTTATTATGTCACTTATCTGCCAGTTTTTTGCTCTATTCGCCAAACTTTTTTTCTATTATATTCTCCACTCTCTTATATTTATTTGCAGAGAACGAAAAAAAAAAAAAAAAATTTAGCACAAAGCAGATGTAAAATGTTACTTGGTCTGGATGAGAGTCCTTCATGCCCCTAGCATCTCCCTTTTAGACAGAATAATGAATATGTAAGAGGCTGAGAAAACATAGTGCTGTGATTTTTCCCACTGATTATTTAGATGTAATAGCCACAGTTTTGGGTCTTTGTGGCTAGGATGGAATACAAATGTTCAAGAAGACTTTCCAAAGCACTCTTTGTGTTTTTTAACACACACAGTAGAAGAGCTATTTTCCACATTTTCTTTTCTTCCATGTACTTTTGCATGCTAGATAGTAACTAATTTGAACAAAACAGTGTATTGTGCACCAGCTACTTGAAATACAGTTGTCCTAGTCACAAATAATACCAGAACTAGGACTCACAGCAGCAGTGGCTGAGGAAAAAGTAAACCCAGTTGTAAAACAAGTGAATACTGTGCTGGTGTGATAACTTATTTATATTCATATCCCCACCACGGCTCTGTTTTAACAACTCACTGCTTATTCTAAGAATTTTCAATGCTTGACATGTCAGAATGAAATTTAAAATATCACATCCCACTTCACCGCATTCTGATTTTGGCTAAGACCATTCATATCAAGATGAATTTTGGGCCAACCAGCAGAATAAAGTGAAACCTTACTCTGCTGAAGGAAAAAGTATATGTTATTCATATAAACCTATAACAGCCTAACTAGAAAAATAAATGCTGATGCAATATTCATGGATGTGCTTATGGAAGGAAAAACGATCATTTACATCCTAAATTCAGGCGTTGGCGCTATGATATTGTGACAGTTCATCACTGAAGACGGGAGAACAACATTAGGTCTCCCGCTCCTTTGGTCAGTAACCGCACTGTGTGGGTTGCCAGTGGAGAAAGTCTTTGCTGCAAAGGAGCAGCAGTTGTGAACTCACCAGAAGGCATCAGCTTTGAAGCATTCTGTACCGAATGATCCAGAGGCTGCTGGGAGGCTCTGATGAGAGCCCTTCACTGATGAGAGCCCCAGCATCTATCATTAATTGTAACAGAAATTGTGCCTCTTTGTTCTAACAGCCCTCTCACCTCCACACCTGTTGGTCCATCCTCCACTCTTGGCCACCACTGGTCCATCCCTTCCCTGCCCGCACGCTGCACATAGGCACACATCCTTGATCAGCATCCAGGAAAATAATGTGCATCCAAGGCCGTCGGGCCAGTTACCTTCTGGACTACATGACCACCTTCCCTCCTCCAAGAGCCTCAGCCAAAGAGAAGAACAGCTTGATGAAAGGCCACCTTGATGCCAGATCTGTGGAGGCTGTGGGCACTGGAGGAGGTGGCAGTGCTGCCCACCAGCTCAAGGTGTGCCCCTCCCCACTCCACACTCACTCACAACTGCATTCATCAAGGCACCTAGCACCGGCGTATGTATGTGTCACATAAAAATCATCTGCGGCGTTCTACAAATTTGATAATGCACATGTTTCTGCTGTGTCTTATAAAATAGCTGAGTAAGAGCCTTTCTAGATATGCAGAAAAAAATGTATATGGACTTGGCTTTAGTATTCAGAAGCAAAATACATTTTAAGAAGCTGGACAAACTCCCAGAAACATTTTGATCTATGGACAGTTGTCGATTAACGATTTGTCGGCCTCTGTACCAGCCAAAGCTATTCCTGTTAAAAATGGAATGGTTCAGAGGGCCAGATGCTGATGTGGTGTTTTGTGAAAACTCAGTTCCACCATATTTTTGCATTTAGATGTTATCCTCAAAGTAGCACCTAGTGCACAGAGCAGGGAGAGGTTGAGAGGCAGGCATCATCCGGCTTTTCTGCCCCATCCTTCAGAGATACTGTCACAAACTTCCCATCTAGTCTGGCTGGGCACAGTGGTTGGCTCACTCCCTGGTTTGGCCCATTGTCCATTGATTTCTCTTTGAAGAGATACAGTTTAGTCTGGATCATGCTAGGCATTTCATGACTATGGATCACACTTAAGGAATCAAACCAGGGAGTTTGGATCTTTAGAAAATACTGCTCAGGAACCACTGTCAAGCCATCTGGCCAAAGGAATCTCAATGCTAAGTTTGTCAAGGAGTTCCCATATCCACAGTAGCCTGTCAAGAGCTCTTTCCCCTGGCAGAAACCAAAATCAGGGTAGCAAACATTATTGAATGCGTGCCCCCAAGCTGTGGCTATGAGCGGGAGGGGACCTCCAGGCTTGATCCCACTCCATACTGACAGAAAAAGGGCTGCGAGCAGACTGTTTTGTAGTGTGCAGACCCACGCTGTAAGTTCCACCACTCCCATCTGTAATGAGGATGGTCCAAGGGTGCCTAGTGCAAGGTTGTTGTGGGGCAGAAAGGTGGAGAGGGGTTTTAAACTTTCCGCATACCTGGTCATTAGGTGATGTCCGAGGCAATATGTGTTGTTGCACTACTAGTTTTTGCCTCCAATGTTTATGTGTGTCAAAAAGTGTGAATTTGTTCATAGTACAGGATATAGTAAATAAACCAAAAAAAAAAAATAATAATAGCTGCTTATTTCAGAGGAAGAGAAGACCACCTGTTCCCTAAAGTTCTCTCCCTCCCATCCCCAGACCTTTGTATCACTGATCTTGAAATAAACCACCATTTCTTAGAAGTGGACTTGGGCTGATAAAGTGTAATTGTGTTAAACATGACAAAAAGAACTGCAGAATGGGATGTTATCACAATTTCCATCACTTTTTCACAATGGCCTATTAGTGTTCTTTTACAGGAGAAATTGAAGTGCTCAATTCCTTAAACTCCTCTTTCCTTAGTAATAAGCTGAAATGCCTGGTTTATTTGATCAAACATCAGGTTTAGTTTCCTCTTTGTATCTCAGCTCTCCATTTTGACACATCTGACTCAGAACTTTGTCCTTCCAAAGGATAAAATCTGGTTTAGGAGTATTAAATACTGAGTTTCTATCTGTGGTAGTGGAAATAAAGATCCTAGATTAATTGTTTTTATTTCTTTGTTTGACCAATGAAAAAAATTCTTCCCCGGTCTTTAAGTACAAACTCCCTCTACAAATTCCTTCACCACAATCCCTCTCAACTATTACATATGCTATGTTAGGTACCAGGTATTATAAACTAGCTATGTGATCCCCATGCTCACGTACTTTTTTTTTTATCTTTATCTTGTGGAATGAGAGCAACTATCAAAACATATTTATTTGCTTCCCCCATTCCTTATTTTTTTTAGCTGCAGTGATATTACTACATATTTTATGACAGCTCTGCCTTTCCGCATCTTTTACTCGTGGCAGAATCAGTCCCCCTCCCTTAGTTCTGTCTGTGGCTCATAAAGCCATTGATAAAATCTCTGTCATTGAAATCCTGTGGTTCAAGCTGAATCAGGGTTACTGCTCCACTCTGAGAGTCCTCACAGACATTTTCTTCTTCTCATTCTGATTTCCCTCTCATATCTGCGCGGCGTCTGTTCTTTCATTTATCTTCTGTGCTGGGGTAGAAGAGTTCAGCTGGACGGCTGCATGCTACGTTAGTTATTCAGAACACTGATGCTTTATGAAAGTGGCCTGCAGCCATCAGGCAAGAAATTATATAGGTTTCTAACAGAGGAGAGACAGATGTCAGTGTGCATTCTCCTCTGGGAAGAATAACTAGTTTTATAAAAAGAGCACTGGCCCAGTTTTTGAAAGGTAGAATGGGTGGCAAGGTTTGGTGCCCAAGTATTTCTGAGGAGCTGCACACAAGTGTTGGTTTCACTACTAATCACTTCTTTCTCTTATTTTGTAAAGCCTATAGACCTTGGACTCTATCTTGACCACCATGGAAAGCTAGATTTAAGACGAAAAAATATCTAAAGGTGATAATGGAAACACTGTATGAGATGATTGGTAAATGCACTCAATTGGTGTAAATATTTCTTCTTTCTAAGTTTCCCATGTCCTAGGGACTCCCTTACAATGAGAATATCTTTCTGGCAAAACATAACCAGTGATTGTGCCCTCTGCCGGGATCTCCAGGATCAAACCAGGCAAAAATCAATGGAAAATGAAAAATTATTTCTCTGGAGTAATTGTTGGAAAGGGGAAGAAAGAAATTAGCAAAAAGAATTCCAGTACTGCAGTTAATCTCGGTCCAAACTTCTGGACCTCTGCTCATGTGAAAAGAAAAGGAAAGGAGAGAATACCCATGAAACAGACATTAGCACACCAAAATCGCACTTCTCAGATACCTGTATGGTGAAGTCTCCCATTGACTGACAGCAAAGACACATATGAAATCATGCAGCATGAGTATAACAAAGCAGAATAAATCCTCAATGTGCCGGGCACCGTCCTACCTTTCCTGGAGCCCCACAGGTTTCATTCTGAAAGGAGACGGACTGGCACATAGGGGAGGTTTGAGCTCAGGAACACATTGGCCTTGAGGGTCCACTACAACATTGACAACCTTTGGAGCCTGTTCAGGCTGGACCATGCTGTTGGTGGTCTTATACTCAGACTGAGATGTCTGCAGGGGAAGGGGTGAGAGGTGGATCTCCTGCTTCTTTTCCTTCTCTTGTCTCAGTGACAACTGGATCTTCTCCTTTAATCTGTACAGAACCTACAGAAAGAGAAAGGAAAGCCCAATCTCATATCCCTGGTAAACAAGGCAAGGAAAGTATAACAAATGCTGGATAAGATTGCTATACGTGGCTTTCATTCCTAGAAGGTAAGCCACAAGTTGTGTTACATGGCGTTTCCCACAACAGGATAAATATTTCCATTACATAAACCACAGTGTGTACACGTGGGCGTAGAGATTTTAACAGTTCTCATTGTGAGCCAGTAATTATTTGTAATACCAGCAGTTGTATTATTAAAGGGGCAAATAGCATAGAATGGAAAAAGAGTTACAGAAGACACTGTGAAGAAGGAAATACTGATAAACAGAGTAATTGTAAAAAAAATTGTAAGAATTTTAACACAAGAGAGACAATGGTACAAAATAAAATACATGCCTATGATACATCCAGGTACATGTCTCTAATTATAGCAGCCTCAATTTGTTTTAGAGCAGATGTTCTTAAAAGCTCTTACTCATTTTGCATGGAGCTGATGGTTGAACTGAGAAACTTTATTCGGCCACTTTTGTAACAGTAGGATGCTACTACTCTGAAATACTCCTCAGGATAAGGATATCCCTCAATATCCTCAGAGGAACATAACCTGTTCTGGAATAAAGCTGAAATGATGCATGGCCTATGAAGCTATTTAAGCATCTGTTCAGAAAAGTGTGGTTTACAATCACCGAGACATTGACATCTGAATGTACTGTAATACCAGGATTCCTAGTCCGCCTATTGCTTATGAACTTGGATGTCAGATATCTGCAGCAAAAGCTTTTCAGAAGTTGTACTGATCCTCTACCACTGAACTCCGCACTGATGTTGCTGGACACCGGCTTGGCAAGGGGTGGTGGGTAGCATGTGGTTGGTAATGTCACTCCAGAGGAACCTGTGTTATGCCTATTTAACACATCTTGTCTCTCTGGAGGGGAATCCAAAACAATTTCTGAGCCATGGTTGTGGTATTTTCAAAACGTGCCTTACAACCTATGAAACATACGTAAGTATTGTGTGTGGAGGTGGGCAAAAGGCACTTACATGGGTTTTTGAAGGTGTCTGTAGATACCCTTATACCTTCTACTCTGCTTTATCTGTTGTCATAAAGCATTCAGATTGAATCCTGGTTTGCAATGCCATAAAGACAAAGCCTAGACCAAAGCATTTTTCTGCTGCAAGTCAGAAGCTCTTTGGCAGCTATTGCCCTCCTAGCACCACATAAAGATCTATCATTCCATAGCTTTCTATGAAGACTGGATATATCTGATCGGTTTGTTTTTTTCAAGGATTAGCATTAGAGGTTTAGCTGGGAACTGACCTAATGTCATTAGGAATACACTCATTAAACAAGACTTAACTATGTAAACCATCTGTTCATTCAGAAGAATTTAGAATTAAGTTGCATAGATAAGATAAGCTGCTCTTTGCCATTATTTTGCAGAAAAAACAGCCCTACTGTGAAGCAAGGACACAGGTACCAGTAAAGATAAAACAGGCTTGAAATATTTTAACCCTCTTTTCCTCCAGTGATTGCTTTGGTCTCTTGTGTTTCTGGTAACCTGCAGATATGCAGCTGAGACATTCATGGTGATGACAATGTTAACCATACCTTCTTGTCACTGATATATTTTGACATAGTTTCATTCCTTGGAGACCCAAGGAATTATGTTTTTGACTTCCAAAAACCTGGATGAGTATTATTTTATACCCTTTTTTAATACTCTATTATTAGATCCTAGGAAAAAAGTTAGTCTGCCACCAACAGAAGTTGAAATAAAGCTAAAGAAAGAACCACATTTGATCTAAGAGCTAATGTACTGAGCTAACTCAGAAAGTGTGGTCAGGGCCATCATATTTTTAATGAATTCCAGGTGAAAGTCAAACAAACAGAAATGGCCAAAAAGACAGTGATCAACCCAGTCACCAACCTCTGCAAAGGGGAGAACTTAGTTATACTCATATTTTAAATCAGTTTAAACACATCTGTCAGTATGGATGGAAACACATATGAAGCCCCTAAACTAGGAAAACTGATGTTTTACTGATACCCCAGAAGATTAATTGTGAGGATAATCAAGAGGCGTGGGGCAACTGAACAACACAAAGTACTATTTTCCAGGACACACAAGGTGGGTCACCTGTAATTTTTTCATGTATTAAGCCTAGGCTTCAAAGCCATAGTCCAAAAGGAAAATAAGTCTTCTTTCTGCCTCCTCTTTGACTCAGTTTATATGGAAGAACGACAGGGTGCTGACAGCATGACATTCACTCCTTATATCTCTGCTCAGATTTCTGCAAAGGAAAGCTGACGTGTTACGCCCTAGCTTGGCCAGTACCTCCTACCTACACATTCAAAATACCAGTGGAAACTGCTTTTATTCATCTTCAGAGATCAACAGGAAATCCCAACGAAATAACTGTATCTCCAGAATGAAGATCTTGGCAATGGTTATGTGGAGCAGTGATATGAAAACTCATCTGCCTAGAGATATTTAGGGCACCCAGGACTGTACAGTAAAATCTCCCAGAAACCATGGAAATTAAGACTTTAATTAAAAGCGTTCCCTCTGACAAGTACTTATTAACATGTGTGTGAGGCTGTGTGTGCATTTCTGCATGAGCAGAGCTATTGTGCGTGTGTATATGTGAGGAGAAAATCAGCCATCAGCATTTCCCTCAAACTCTGAGGAAGGGATGAAAGACCAAAAATGTGACAGATGTTAATTGTGGTGTTTGATGCATTACTGGGAGGCATTTAGATACCATGGCTGGAATGCACTATAAAAAATTGTGTAGAAGTAGAATAAAAGAATTCAGACAATCTAGGACTAGTTTATAGACAAACCCCCTAATTTCAAGTTGTCTTAAACCCTCGTGCAGTATGATAAAAAGATATATTGTTAATTTTGATTTAAATCTTTAAACTGGCAAAAGCCAAAGTTGATAGGCTGATATTAGTTAGTTGTATATATTCAGTAATCAAAATGCTTTCAGAAGTCCTTCACCACTTTATGTATCCTGAAATTTGTAAGTTTAAGAACAAGAGATAGGTCATGTGAAAATTTGATGCTGGAATGCATTTTTTTGGTATTCAATATTCTTCTTGTTAAAGAAATTCCAAAATACAATCATGAAGCTGAAAAAAATATTTATCATTTAAGTAACTATCTCCCCAAAACATCAAATAACTGTTCATAACAAAAAACACCGCAGTCAGTAGTAAAAATTTAGATCCTCACAATTTGTTGACAAGGCAAAGTTCATGGAATCATAGATTCATAGAATAGTTTGGGTCAGAAGGGACCTTTAAAGACCACCAAGTCCAACCCCCCTGCCATAAGCAGGGACATTTTTCACAGGGCAGGTTGCTCAAAGTTCATGTCTTTCATTATTTTAAGTGAAAAAAAATCCTACTTTTTGATTTTATTTTTTTTAGTGGGAAAAAGAAAAACATTTGGAAAATTCTCTTATCACGACTAGCTACAAATATTTCATAGTCTGAAGGTGATCCTTCCAGACTACTCAACAGATACTTATACATACATATTAAAAAAAAATAAAAATATGCAAACATACTGGTTTATTAAAACAGGCAAAATTAGTAAGAAATATGGTAGTAAATAATTTAACTCACTGTCAAAGCATGTGTTATTTAGTAAATTTGGTGATGGCTCAGTTATTTCTCTGTTTATGTAAAATAAAAAAATACCGAGACCTGTTTTACACATAGGAGTGCTAAAAATATTTATTCTTACTTAGCACTTTGCTCGGCAAACTTTATAAATGATGAACTATGTTCCCAGTGGAAGTGAGCCTGTGGTCAGTCCCTGATGAGGATAGCAATGAGCTGTCTGTTGGCTTCCATATATGATGAATTGCTCCTGGGATGCAAGAAGTTCCCATAACACAACAAGAAGGACTAGCTGAGTAAATACATAAAACGACCTCAGAGGTACAATTTACAAGTCCAACTTTAGCTCATGTGCTGCTGTATTACACTGTTTAGCAATATTCTGCACTGTAGATTTTTAGGTATAGAGGACAGATATTTATTCAAATCCAGCCAAGCATTAAGAAGCCTAAAAGCTGTTAATGCACAATGAGCTGTCAGTGCAGGGAAGCATCATGATTTGTAAAAGCCAGTTAAGAGACGAGGCTGCAATTTCTGTAGAAATTACACAGAACAAAGAATTAACACTGACAATTCAGCTGCCTTATACTGAGCACTGTCAATCATAATCATCACTTTAAGTACTTCCTACTCCATACTTTAAAGGACACATGCAAGTGATCTACAGATGCAGTCTGAGCTTTCTGCTTTTGGACTCTATAAACTACAAAAAGTGTATGGACAAACAGGTGCCTACCCTGTAACTTTAAAAAAAAGGCCACATTTTGGTGGTCTCATAGGGGTGCTACAGCCAAAGCTACTTAGGACGAGCCCTAACGCCTTATGCTAAAGCTAAATGATCTCATAGACTGCAATTGTTGAATTTGAAGTACTGAATTCCTACTTCATAAATCTGCCACTCTGACGCACATAAAATGGGATGAAAAACAATGTGAGCTGTTTGTTAGCCTTATAGATTGCACATGCTTCATGTATCAGCAGGTCCTAGCAAAATCTGAGGCAGTGTCCATTTACACAGTCTAAACAGTAGCACACGTCAAGATACAGGTTAGACCTGGGAGGGGATAGAAAGGGGAATGGCTGCAGAAAAGACCACAGCATCATAGTAAATCCATGTGGAAGGGACTTCAAAGAGTCTACTAGTATTTACCTCTGCCCTCACTCCAGATAAGCTATACCCAAACTGTTCCTGACAGATGGTTGCCTAGAACCTTAATGGGTAAAAACGCCCAAGCTTCCCCAGGCAATGCACTCCAGGGTCTAGTGACCCATGGGGTAACAAAGTTTTTTCTAATGAGTCAGCCAAATCACCCTTTCAAAAAATTTGCCTTTTCCAATCCCCAGTGGAGAAAGTGTTAGCTTCGTCCTTACCATACCCTTTGAAATATTTCCATGTTTGAGAACTATCATGTTTCTTCTTGCTCTTCTTTTCTCTGTCATAATCAAACCAAATTATTCCATGTCTTCTGTATCTCTGATCACTCTTGTATCTCCTCCCTACAACTGCCTGGCATTTTTTGCAAGTGTAGTACCCAAAAGAGACCACAGAGAATGAGTAAGACACCATACTATAACCAAATTATTGCCAAAGCCAAATTGGATGCAGATCTCAGAGATCATATCCTCATTTATACATCCCAAGGCAAGAAGTGTATTTTTTGCAACAATGTGATGTTACTCATTTACTTCAGCGTGTGCTCCGCGGTACTGCTGGAACCTTTTCTACAGAACTGTTGCTTTGCCATGTATTTCCTACATTGTGTTCATGCACATGATTAGAGCTCTTGTCCCTGCCGAGCTGCATTTTTTTTCTGCAGCACCTTAAGAATATTTTAAGTTCTGATACTGTCCTCCACAATGCTTACAATTCCCAATACCATCTATGCATTCCAAATAATTAATGAAAATACTATGTCGGACCAGGACAAGGACAGACAGCATTTTCTACTGACAGTTGAACAGTCAGTAATGACCAAAATATCTGCTTGTCCAAAGTAAAAAGTTTGAGTAAAAGTTAGTACTTCTAGAGTTACCCTCCTATTTTTGAGATGGCATGGAGAAATGGAGATGATGAGGAAGCAGAAATTATATAAAGCAACAAATTTTGTGAGAAAATAAGTGCTTTACAAATCTTAGGGAGACTTTAAAAGCATAAATAAAATTTTGTTATAAATGTGATAGTTTATTAATATCTTCAGTTTAAACATTCTTTCCGTCTTAAGGCTGTAAGTGGGAAATCCATCTAGGTTAAAAAAAATTAAATGTGTTTGAAAGCAAAGTATCTCAAAAGACTCCAAGATACTATGTGTTCATAAATGCTGAGAATTGTCATAGAATTCAGTAAATCCTTATGTTTATGCACCACAGAAGAAATATACAATTCAGAGGAAAACTTATGAGATATAACATTGGAAAAAATGCAAAAATTACCCTGTGAAAGTCAGTGGTGGTATAGTGTTCTTCATCTTCCAAGTGACCCTTGCATGTCTCACGTTCAGCATATTAGAAGCACATCTAATGCCCAGAAACCTGGTCATTGAACTCATACAATGGGAATGCAAAGTTGTTCAAAAATATGGTAACTCCTTCATATACTCACTAGTCATTTCAGTTTAAAATTTGTATATTCGATACATGAATACCGACACACACTCTTAACAACTGTGCGTTGACAATATTGTATCAATGTGGTGTTGTTTTTACTGTTCATTAAAACTGGAATACAGGCAGCTAATGTGACTTCAGGGATCCTGGAACCTTAGTAAGAAGGCTGAGAAGTCAACGCATGTCACTACAGAGTCACTCTGCAGATTTAAGACCCCATTATTTATTTCTTCAGGTTCCTTCTAATTACATTCTTCAGCTGGACTCAAGATAATTCAAGAAATGTGGTTCTTCAAATTTTTGCTTTACAGCATTATGGGAGTGACCAACTCTTACCTTGTAGCTGAGCTTTCAGTAGCTTTCAGTAGCTCTCATGCAAAGAATGTGCGACTCTATCCTTCAGACTGAGAAAAGCATGAAGTAAAGAACAGTGAAAAAAGGTGAAAAGGAAACTTACCATTAAGCAAGTTACTAGAATGACAAAGATGCTGAGGAATATGACAACCGCATAAAATCCTTCTTTGCTCCAGATTTTGTCTGCTTCATGCTGGCCTTGCAAAACATTTTTCTTTTTTAAGCAATAAAACAGAAAGAGGAAGAGAAAAAGAGTTACACAGTAGCGTGCGCAGATTAAATAGCTCTCGCCAGGCATTAATCACCCTCCTCAGCTTTGTCACAGTTCACATTCCACAGTATATGGCACTCATTTTGAACGCTGCTATTTGCATACCCACCTTGGCTACGCACCCCGCCTGCACTCTGTGTGCCCGTGTACGTGCGTGCGCGTGACCCAGTGGGTCCTAACGCTACGTGAGATGATCTAAGACCTCCGCGGCTGCTGAGATAATCCTCCACCTGGAGTCATGGGCTGGTTGAAGGTAAGCAAACAAGACTCACGGTCTTTCTTGGAAACTACCTGGCTCGTCAGGTAAAAGGGCAGCGCTCCTGCGTGGGCTGCGGGTACCGCTCGCCCTGCCTCTTTCTCCCCAGTGCTTATCTCTGGCCCCAGCACCCACGCACCAGCCTCGGGACTGTTTACACTTGACACAGGAGTGACAAGCAGGTGACTTGCCGGTTTGCCTTCATGAGCTGGGAAGCCCTGACACTGTCACCTTTAGAGTACACACCCACATACACGTGCATCCGTAAAAAATTCTGATTATGCTGACAGAAATCTCATTATCTATCTTTCTATAATTCTGATTATGCTTAAAGTAATCTCATTATCTTTGGGTTCCTGCTATACATTTCTAAAACAGCTGTGCACACTAAAATTTCCAGAATTCCGGCAGAACTCCTGCGGATTATGAAATAGTACTAATTGTAAAAGCATTTATTTTTGGCTTTATTGCAGTGTGGGGACTTGGTTGGGCTATTAAATTACCAGAATTTCACTATGTTTCCAAATAGACATATGGTAGTAGAAACAGAGTACATGTACCCTCAGTCTAACTGCAATGTATTATTTAGAATAAAGTATGTCGTCTTGTGTTTCTGTGACCGCAGTTCAAAGACGTTGCTCTCCCAATTTTCATGTACTTACTTTTCTTTTCTTAATTGTGTATTTGCAGTACAGTTCTCAGACTGAGAAAACCTGACTTTCTTAAATTCTGGTTTCTGCTGTAAATGTTCAACGTCTTGGTGTTTCCCTTTCACTGCAATTCCCCAGTGGCTTTAATTAACCTTCTCCTTTAACTAGTGAGTTGTCTACCCATCTCAAGGTGGCCTTTTCTCCTCTCTGGGGACATTGTGTAAGAGTTCCTCCGTTTAAAGATGAGTGGCTGCTCACTGGACCTGTGTAACTGCAGGGACCCTCTAGCACTTTATTTACATGGGCACTTCATGCTCCAAAGTCTGCTTAGCCACTGCTTAGCCTGCTCTTTTGGACAGTTAATGTATCAAGCAAACTCCTTGTGTCCATCAGCCTCTCAGACATACAAAGTCCTGATGAAGTTGAATTCATGTGGAAAGGCTTGCTGAGGAGGAGGAGATCATGGCCTGGGGAAGAGAGGACAAAAAGCATAATAAAGAAGAGTTTTCTTTGGAAGTCATAGCCCCAGGCACCAGAATGGAAAGCCTTTACCCCCTTCTGCTCAACTACAGAAACAGACCTTGTAAAATTAGCGTATTTGTGTGTGTGGTGTGTAATCACGCAGTGTTTCATGATCTGGGCTTAAAAGTATTGCAGGTATTGACAGTTTAACAAGGTTTGTAAGTGTCAGTCTTGTGTTTAGTGAGCAACTGAAAAACCAGGGCTTTCAAAGGCAAGCTGGAAATCTTGCCAAATACTTCTGCAAAAAATGTTCCTAGACATACTCAAACAACGTTGCCACTCTAATGAGGTGCAGCTCTCCATGCAATCTGCTACCTCAGCACAGCAAGGTTATTCTGCTGCGCTCACGGAACAGGACTCGGGACCCTATGCTGGCTCAGAGCCCAAATCTGCAGCTGCTCCGCACTTGGGACTGCTCCTCTTGAGCTCTGTGGGAATCCCACGGTGACAGCAGCAGCTGCAGCTCTGGCCCATTAGCTATAAACTAAGTGTTTGACCCTGGGTGGGTTACCTGATGGCTTTCTGGTGTTTCAGATCTCTCAGGAGGAAATGTAGATAAAAAGCAGGAGCTGAAGGAGAATTGGCAGTGCTGACCTTTTGTGAGTGAGTAAATGGGGGGTTTTTTGAACCTCTTCACTGAAAGGACAGATACACTGAAAAGTAAATGAAGAGCTAATAGGATTTTTTGACTCAAAGGGTGAGATACTTTAATTAACTGTAATTTATTACAGAAAACTTTTAAAATATTTTATAATAGACTTCATAAACATAACCGAATTTAAGAGAGTTAATCTCTTAGATTTGTCTTTACCTGATCTGTCTTTCTAAAAATCAAGTTCAAAGAATATTAACAAATGCTGAAAAAGGGTAAAAAAAAAAAAAAAGCTACAACTTCAACATATCTAACACACCCTTTTGAAACACTTTACCAGTACCTTCACGTAGCCAAGGAAATCTCTCCCCCAGATCTAACTGCAGGACAGCAGAATCATTGCTTAAGCTGCTTCCCTAATGACAGAAGAGGCCGTGACCTACACTAACTGAGTCATCTCATGCCTACGATAAGGAATTGCTTTCTGAAACGTCAGTGCTGCTCATTCAGAACTTTGGTCCTTGGTCTGGGAGAACTGATAAGACAGATGGCAACTGCCACGCTTGCTACAAATTGTTGATGCCCAGGAAAGAAGCTTGCAGAATGACCAAATGCTAGGGAAAGA